AGAGGGTTCTATTACAGTGTAACATACACGTAGTTCCTACCTGATACAAAGAAATGAGGACCCTGCTCCTATGAGCTTACAATATAGCAGAAGGTAGGAAGGGAGTTGCATGTTAGAGAAACAGTACTTGGTAGGACATGATGGTAAATATGGGAGCAGATAAGGTTTTTTCGTGAATCTGTGTGAGGGGCTAGAAGTAGGAGGGTGGTAGATGTCCATGATTGATAGGGGCAGTACGAAGAAGTCCTGAAAATAGGAGTGGTAGGACATAATGATAGAGCTGGATAGGGGCAGTATGGGAGAAGCCCTGGAGATAGAAGTGGTAGGACATAATGTAGAGCTTGATAGGAGCAGTACGGGAGAAGCCCTGGAGATGGGAGTGGTAGGACATAATGATAGAGCTGGATAGGGGCAGTACGGGAGAGGTTCTGGAGATAGAAGTGGTAGGACATAATAATAGAGCTGGATAGGGGCAGTATGGGAGAGTTCCTGGAGATGGGAGTGGTAGGACATAATGATAGTGCTGAATAGGGGCAGTACAGGAGAGGTCCTGGAGATGGGAGTGGTAGGACATAATGATAGTGCTTGATAGGGGCAGTATGGGAGAAGTGCTGGAGGTGGGAGTGTCAGGAAGTAATGATAAAGCTGGATAGGGGCAGTACAGGAGAATTTTTTGAGATGGGGGTTGGAGGAAGTAATGATATAGCTCAATAGGGGCAGCATTGGAGAAGAACTGGAGATGGGAGTAGAAGGATGTAAAGATAGAGCTCGATAGGGGCAATACGGAAGAAGTCCTGGAGATGGGAGTGGAATGAAAAGGTTTAAGTCCTGGGCCTGACACTATTTGTAGAGGAGAGCAGAGATATATAAAGGGTCAGTATTAGTTAAGCTTGCTAGACAAGAATCAAAACTTTGAATTGTATTTTGGGACTGATTAGAAGCCAGTGGAGGGATTGGGTAAGAGGGGCAGCAGACATTAAGAAGGTTAAGTTGTAGCAGGTTGTATGCTGTCCTATGAGTTAATGGTCACATGGTCTGTGTTTTCTCGTGCCTTACAGGTGGACCTCAGAGTGCTCAGGCACCTCAACGCCAGGGGCCTCCTCCCCAGCAGAGGCCTGCCCCTCAGGGTCAGCAACTTCAAGGTTTGGGGCCTCAGCCATCACCACATCCACCAAATCTTCCCAGCCCAGGGGCCCAACAAAGACAAATGATCCCTCAGCAGCAGCCGCAGCAGGCTCGGCCTCAGCAGCCAAGCCCTCGCCAATCACAGTCTCCCCAAAGGCAGCCAAGCCCTCAGGGGGCTCAGTCACCCCAGCGTCAACAGCAGGGCCCTCCGATGCCATCAGGCCCAAAACCAGTGGGAACTCAGCCACCCCAGCCTCGGCAGCCTGGCCCACCAAGGCAACCTGTTCCAGCAGGACCACAGCAAAAGCCCCCTCCTCCTGCCCATCAGCAGCAACAGCAGGGCATCCGCCAACAGGGACAGCAGCCCCCTCCTCAGCAACGTCAGTCAGCTCCTGGAGCAACACAGCAACAACAGCCGCAGCAGCCTCAGCGACCCATGACCCAGCAACCCAGGCCTAACCCCCAGGGACCTGGACAGGTGTCCTCTCGTCCTGGTGGAACTCAGAAGCCTCAGCTGGCTCAGAAGCCGGGCCCAGAGCTGCCCCCACCCCAGCCGCAGCTGAAGTAAGAACCCCCGAGGTTCAGGGTGGGCCACACAGGTTTCAGCTTCATATATATTACATTTTGCATCCCTTGCTGCATGCAGAATCACTGAGCTAAAGATTGACACAGACTGAACCATTTGGTGCTTTTATTTTTTTGCTTATAATTTCTAAATCACAACTTGCTTAGACCATGTGTGATCTTGCTAGTGAATGCAAATTCCGTCTAAAAAAAATATCTATTTTTGGGACTATATTGCAAAAGAATTATAGATATTTAGGGTATGCTTTTGAGCATGAATCATAAAAAAATAACAAAAAGAAAAAGCAAAAACACAAAAGTACTTTTGGTACTTGAGCCAAAGGCTATGGGTATAATATAGGGTATTTTATTGACTAAGGCACAAACCCTGTTTGATAATGCATGACTTTAACGGTCCATTCTCTCTCTCTTCCTCCTCGTACTCCCTTCTCCCCAATACAACCAACATGTCCCTTCTACTGACTACCTCATCTCCCCTTCATCTGTCCCCACCCAACCTTCCCTGCTCCCCAATCCCATGTCCCTTCTAACGTTCTCATCTCCTTCTGTCCCAAACCTTCCCTGCTCCCGAATGCCATGTCCCTTCTAACGTTCTCATCTCCTTCTGTCCCAACTCTTCCCTGCTCCCGAATGCCATGTCCCTTCTAACGTTCTCATCTTTCTGTCCCAACCCTTCCCTGCTCCCCAATGCCATGTCCCTTCTAACGTTCTCATCTCCTTCTGTCCCAACCCTTCCCTGCTCCCCAATGCCATGTCCCTTCTAACGTTCTCATCTCCTTCTGTCCCAACCCTTCCCTGCTCCCCAATGCCATGTCCCTTCTAACGTTCTCATCTCCTTCTGTCCCAATCCTTCCTTGCTTCCGAATGCCATGTCCCTTCTAACGTTCTCATCTTTCTGTCCCAACCCTTCCCTGCTCCCCAATGCCATGTCCCTTCTAACGTTCTTATCTCCTTCTGTCCCAACCCTTCCCTGCTCCCCAATGCCATGTCCCTTCTAACGTTCTCATCTTTCTGTCCCAACCCTTCCCTGCTCCCCAATGCCATGTCCCTTCTAACGTTCTCATCTCCTTCTGTCCCAACCCTCCCCTGCTCCCCAATGCCATGTCCCTTCTAACGTTCTCATCTCCTTCTGTCCCAACCCTCCCCTGCTCCCCAATGCCATGTCCCTTCTAACGTTCTCATCTCCTTCTGTCCCAACCCTCCCCTGCTCCCCAATGCCATGTCCCTTCTAACGTTCTCATCTCCTTCTGTCCCAACCCTTCCCTGCTCCCCAATGCCATGTCCCTTCTAACGTTCTCATCTCCTCCTGTCCCAACCATTCCCTGCTGCCCAATACAACCAACATGTCCCTTCTATTGTCTATCTGCCCTCACCTATACTTTCCTTCTTCCCATTACAACCATGTGCATTCTTCTGACTTCATCCGCCCTCACTCACCCCGTCCTTTATCCCGCTTCCATCGCTTTGATGCTCCTCACTACCATTTCCTACCCTCAATCATGATCTTGGTTCCATTATTCTTTACCACCCATTCTGAATTTTATGACAACCTCTTCTCCATTTTAACGTTCCTTTCATTGTGCGTGTCCAGCAAGTCCCAGTCCCTCACCAACTCCTTCACCCTTGCAGACTCTCCAGCTCCACGTTCCAGTCTTAGCCACGATGAGGTGAAAGCCGAAACCATTCGGAACCTGAGGAAATCTTTTGCTAGTCTCTTTTCAGACTGAGGGGACGTTTCCGAGCATCACTTACCCCTCTGACCACATCATACCTCCTTCATCCGGCACAGCGTTTCTTGTCCCCAACGCGTATGCACGGCTTATATCCTGAAAGTGCAAATAGAGATAGATATGGAGAGAAAGCAAACAGTGGGAGGAAGAGAGAAATCTATTCGGTCAGGGGTGATATAACATTACTTCTATAATTAAAAAAAATATTTATATATATATATATACATATCTTATAGATCAGCCAGGCAGAGGGACAAATCTGTCAGCTCCAGCTTGGCTCAACAGAGGAATGTGTACTGGCACTCACAATGCTTTGTGGAACGCACTGGGTAGAGAAAGGTGATACATATTGAGTTTAATTAAGGATAGCTAAAGCACCCAGATGGCGGCGTCCATACAGAGTCTGTGCGTGTCAGTCCTTCGTATTTATATAAATATATAATATATTCATACATATTAATATTTCAAATCTCGTCATAGCAAAAGTAGCGTAAATTATTAGACATCGCGCCCGTTTGCGCACTTTCTAGTTCACGCAGTCACAGTGTTGCACTCTTCCTCCCAAGTACTCTCGCTATCTATCCCTCCGGTATTTGTCTCTCTCTGATTCAGTCTAGTGAGTTGCTGTGATAGTCCCTTCTAAGTAGATTTCTGTTACTGGTCCAGCTTCCTTGACCCTGCTCTACACCCCAGTGACTGACCTCTGCTGCCGTATCAGAGCCCAGCCACATTCTGACCATTTTCCCTTATTGAGTCTATGCTCCTGTACCACCACCTTTTGTCACTCTCCCTCCATGTCTAATTTGTGTGGAAGTAACACTGTTGTACTGTGTGTAACGTAAGCTTGCTGTGCAGTAAATATTGTGACGAGATTGTTAGTGAGCGCCATGTTCCTTTCAAGTAGTGAAATAATGTTGTATTAAGAGTAATATATTATATATGATTAAATAAGTTAATCACCACTGCCCTCATGTGCAGAGAGATGCCTGTCATTGTTTGTGAACGCGTCTGTGTGATAATGTGAACCCAGTGGGGCAATAAGATGTGACTTGTCTAAAGAAATAAAAATTCAGACATTAAAACGTGGATTTTATTGAAAGGATTGTGAGTCAATAAGGTTTAATAAAATAGTCTTGTATCTATCAGTCTGTAATCTGGTCAAAGCTACATTTAATGAGACCTACTCCAAGGTTTAACTATGGCAGGACAAAGGCTCCTTTAATACTGCCTTCATTTTAGCCAAGGGACATTCTGCTGTATGGTGGTCTTATAATTGTACCCCCCTACAAATCAATGGTAAGATCCCACCAGTCCATATATGTCCCAAAAAGGACAACATTAACAAGGAAAACACTGCTCTCTAGTAACCTGGTAAGTAAGAGAACGGTACAAAGGACAAGAAATTATTAATACTTAACTGGAGGAGGTATTATAAAAGGCAGAAGGTAGGTGCCTGCTGTTGTGAATAACGAAGGTATGGAATTCACAATAAGCGTCTTTAACCAAAGCAATCAAAACCCAGAGACACGCACTTCGTTAAATCACTAGATGAAGTGCCGTAGAAAACACAAGCTTCTCCACTTGTCAGCCTCTGTATAGACTAAAAACAAAGAAGGTACACACAGTGTGATATTGTTCGTATAACAATTTAGTAAAACATTAAAACTGCACTCACGTTATAAAGGCATTATTAATAAAGTGCAAACACAATGGATTATACTTAACATCATGAACGTCTCCGATCTCTGAGAGTCAAGATCTCCAGAACTTCTCAAAAGGTCCTCGTAAGGGTTTAATTAAATCTCTGGGTTTGTTTTAAGCTAATTAGGCCACATATCATAATACAGACACAGACCCACTGTTAGCCATAAAATTACTCAAATATAGATTTTATTTGTCTAAGACTCAAATTGTGGCAGTGCGTCACGAGAAATGTAGTTCACAAACATCCGTAATGCCAAGGAAATTACTAATATATTAAAACCCTTACACGATATTACACAGGTGGTTTTAATGGTGCTGGTGATCACTGTTTGTTCCCCTCGTGCTGCATCGAGGCATGGACGCCACAAGACCTCTGAACGTGTCCTGTTGTATTTGGCACCAAGACATTAGCAGCAGATCCTTTAAGTCATGGCTTGACAAATTTGCTTTGAATCTAGAAGACAGATTTTTTTTTTTTTTTTTAAACTTACATAGCTTTATATTAAACAACAAAAATACAATTCTTAAAGGGACACGATAGTCACCAGGACCTCTACAGCTTAATGAGAAAAGGCAGTGTTTACATTGCTTCCTAGTGACACTAGGATGGTCACTAGAGGTGCTTCCTGTGTCAGTGTTGCACAGTGTGCAGCACCTTTATTCAGCGTCTCTACGCTCTGCATGGATGTGCTGAATATTCCCTACTGAGTTGCATTGATTCAATGCATCTCTGAGGATATGCGGATTGGTGCAGCGTTTTGCAGCCAATTCTATGAGAAAACATTGGATTGGCTGAGATAATCATGACTGAACATCTCAGCCACAGAGGCAGGGCCAGTCGAGTGGAGACCAGCACCGCATGGAGAAAAAAAAATGTGAGTAAAAACACTTTCCTTGCAAATGGAAGGGGTCTCGTTACTTAAACGCACACACAATGACAGACAGAACCATACATACCATGACAAACAGACTCACACATTGCTTGTATTGATACCTGTGGGGTACAGTGGGCGACTGGCTGGGAGGTCGTGGAGGCAAGGGAGCTGTGATATCCCTGCTTTGACGTCATATTCCGGCCCCGGTCTCAATAAGCAGCAAGCGTGGGAGCAGAGCAGGGATATCAATGCTCCCTCTCCACCCGCCTACTATTCGCGCAGCTATCCACCCGCCTCCACAATTTCCCAGCCGGCCTCCAAGGTAACGGGCTCACATATCCCAGATGCCAAGGCAAAATTCCTAGGCGAACGGGATTTGTCGAGCCCAGCAAGGTGCGTGGTGGGATCCTAATGAATCAGATTGAGATCTGGGGAATTTGGAGGCCAGGGTAACTTGAACTCTGTCAGGTTCCTCAATTCATTCCTGAACAACATTTGCAGTGTGACAGGGTTTTCCTGCGGAAAGAGGCCACTGCCATTAGGGAACAATATTCCCTTGAAGGGGTGTACTTGGTTTGCAACAATCTCTAGGTAGGTTTTATGTGTCTTAGGAACATCCAACACCTGACACCTCTGTCATGGGCAGCATTAGGTTTTTCAGCAATTTCAGCTACAGTAGCTCTTCTGTGTGATCAGACTAGACGGGCTACCGTGTGCTCCCAATGTGCGTCAATAAAGGTTGGGCGCCCATGATCTTGACGCCAGTTCACCTTTTCTGTCACCACTTTTGGTAGGTACTAAACACTGCATACAGGGAACACCTCACAAGACTTGCCGTTTTGGAGACGCTCTGACCCAGTCTTACCATCACTATTTGTCAAAGTCACTCAGATCTTTTCGCTTGCCTATTTTTCCTGCTTCCAACATGTGAAATTCAAGAACCAACTGTTCAAATCCTGCCTAATAAATCCCACCCTGTTACGATATAATCAACGTTCTTCACTTCACTGGTCAGTGGTTTATAGCTGTGGCGCGCGCGCGTGTGTGTGTGTATGTGTGTATATATATATATATATATATATAATTAGTTAATACAATGTTCAACAAAAATCTGCACACCAGTCAAGCCATAAGACTTGCTTTTCCCACAGAAATCCCAAATCTGCAATGATGTTACTACTGCAAAGGATTCTGGGTGGGCATATGCAAATTAGTTTAACAAAGAATCAAATTTTTGCCTCATTCCATTTTAAACATGGATTCTTTTTAATCTGTTTGCTGTATACAACAGCTTGGAACACAATTTAGGAAAAGATGCAAAACCAGTGAACCATTCGTGGACAGCTGTTTCGTTGTTAATGCAACTCATCAGCATGAGGTTGGTTACTGGTTTTTTTTATATATATATATATATATATATATGCAGTCGTTCTTGTTCTGTTAAGTGTATTTAAAGGACACTGTAAGCACCAGAATTACTGCAGCTAAATGTAGTGTTTGTGGTATAATCCATCTCTTTGAGGAGATGCTGATTGGTGCAGCACAGCAATTGACGCACATGCACAGTAAATACCCAATACTTCTTTGAGGCTGAAATCATCATCAATGGTAATCTCAGAGATGGGTGGCTGTTGCGAGGCTGGTGTGGCATTAAAGAAGTCCGTTTTGTTTTTTTAAGTGGGGGCCTATATCTAAAACACGGAAAAAGTTCTTAGAAAAAATGTTTTTCCAACATTAATTTTCCTTTCAACGCATTCATCAGATTTTGATGGAATAGAAAAAAAAAATTCAATATTCCAGTCAAGGTGCTTATTATGAAAGACATACAAGCAGACATGTCTTCGCTCCTTCTAAACATTAGCCACTAAGCAATGCCCAAGAGGGCGTAATCTTGGTGAGCTGTTTAAAAAAAATCTAGTTAGAGGTTAAAATATTTTGGCATTTACACCAATTTACATGGTATAGGGAGTCATGTCAAATTATTTTTGATGACAACATTGAGCAAAAGGACCCAGGATATGGGTATTATCCAATCAGAGAGCAAGTCGACAAGTCCCCTGTAAGTGCCAAAGAAAAATCAATAAAGACTACAATTACACCAAATGTATTTTATTTAAAACTATATATTACACAAATCCATTTAAATTTCTGTGTATCTGCCCTCACCATACAGTTCTATTTATTTCCACATCATTTCTCAAGCATACCAGGCTTAATTTAAAAAAATCCTTGCATTAAAGACACGGAATAGTAAATACAGGATAACGTGCATCCAACAAGAAGGCCCCATATACAATTACAAAGAAGTCTCTGCTTCTCCCAGCCGCTCGAAAGGAGACTCCGCTTCTCCCGGCCGCTCGAAAGGAGACTCCGCTTCTCCCGGCCGCTCGAAAGGAGACTCCGCTTCTCCCGGCCGCTCGAAAGGAGACTCCGCTTCTCCCGGCCGCTCGAAAGGAGACTCCAGAAGCACAAATCAGGCACATTTTAGTCCTTGCAATAAATAGCTTCATCTCCCGGGAGACGAGTAATGGCTTGTAAATGGGAAAATTACCCTATTCTAAGAAATAAGCTCAAAGTTGATTTTGCTAAAGTATGATGTTTACTTAATTTGAGAATCACATCACATCACAGTAACCACCTGGCACCATTCTTACAATATTGCATTAGATTTCGTCACTATATAGGTAATATTTTTAATCCAAAAAGGAGCTTATTTTGTCCATGGAGAATTCCAAAGTTGGAAGGCACATGTATAATTCAAAGTCCACTTTATAAGCCACAACAGACTTGTTCTAAAGTATTTTCAGGGTGTAACGATGCCTCCTGCGCTTTTTAAACATGGTGCAATATATATACACATGACACTTCTCACATGTTGAATGGTTTACAATGTATACACACCAATTAGCGACCAATCGCAGAACTCCTGATAAATAACTAAGATTCAGATGGGAGGATCAACTGCCCATCTTAGTCCAAAACTGGTGAAGTACTCCAAAGATTGCTTTAAATGTTCTGCATGAGCTCACAAAAGGGCATTTAACGATGCAAACTAAGTTGTAGAGGTGGGCAGACTGACTTATGACACTGGCTTCGGCCATGTGACCCATCTACAGCGGAATGAAAATTATTTGTCTCGGGTGGAGGAATTTGTACAAGTTAAAAAAAATAAAAATAAAGCTTTATACGGAGGAAAAACACAGCCAGCAATGTGTCTGAAGAAGAAGAAAGCCACATCCAACCCCGGCAAAGAATGACACCAGCTTTGTCACATGTGAAAGATCCCGTCACGGTCACATTATCTGTAGGTACTGCAGCATGGGGTGCTGTAGCACAGTAGGCTAGTGGCCAGGATATCAGAACTCCATCACTGGGGCACAAGCCGCAGGGTGTTCACTAAGAAAGGGTTTAGGTCCTCAGAATTCACTGCTCTGTGTAGTGAAGGTTCGGACGCACTGCGCTCAATTTTGGGCAGTGCTCGTTGAAGCAGCTCAATGGATGAGAGAATCTGTGAGAAAGGAGACAAAGTGAGCACAGGCAATAGACAGAACACAGAAAATGTTTGGAGCAGTGTCTTGTTATAAATCGCACACAGACCAAAGGACACTTAGAGGAGCGCTACAGCACTACGAATGCAAACCTATAAGGCCATATAGCACCAGTCTCCATTTAGATTAGTCCCCCTGTGTGTAATAAAAACTTCCTTTTTTCCCTCGGAGCAGTGCTGCTACACCTCCCGTGAGGTCTTTGTGGAGGGGTCATATCACATGCGTTTGTCCGTTTAATACTCAGAGAAGCAATGGGGACTAAATGCGCATGCACAGCGAGTGCCACTGGCATCCAATCAAATGCTTCTTATAGAACAGCACTGAATCCAAAGCCACATTTGGTCACATGACCGGCTGTTGGGTCAGGAAGTGCAGCTAGTGGCTGCCCATAGGTGTGGAAACATTGCTGTATGTAATAAACCACAAAGTTTTAAATCACAGGGTGAAAATTAAAAGTGAAGTGATCTGTGTCAGTTGACTCCATTAGGGGCATTCGTCACATTGGTGAACTAGCTGATCTTCTTTAAGACAGACTTTTTATGTGGCAGCCTCTGTGAATCGTGTCCTTACCTGGGGAAACAGTGGCCTTTCTTCTCTCTTGAATTTTAAGCAGTCAATCAGAAGCCTTTTCATTGCTTTGGGGCAATTATTCGACACTTTGCTGAGGTCAGGAGAGAGGTAGCCACGTCCCACCATGAAAATGATCTGTTACAAAAAAAAAAAAAAAAAGAGCTTAGGTAGATACAACTGCTGCCCTGGGGTAAAAGGGCAAATTAATCGATCAGTGCCACCTCCACCCCTTTTATCCAGCCAGGAAATCAGGATTTTGGACTCTGTCTCCTGTAATCTAGGATGAAAGCTCCTGAATTTGCCGATTCTGCATCCACCCCATCATATAATGTGCAAACAGAGAAAAGGCGCTTTATAACAACCGATTCTCAGGTTCCCTGTCTCATGTCATCTATTACATCTTTTGGCATGGCGCCATCTTGTGAAAACATTCTGTCCCTACAGCTCTCTCCATACTCCATTGTAATGCCATAAGAAGG